AAAAAAAAAAAAAAAAAAAAAAAAAAAAGAAGAATAGAAGATAAAGCACAAAGAAAGTAGAAGCGCATTTTTGCATTATAACTGGACGAGTATATAATGCTAAGTATACTATTTAGTGTAAGGGTCAGGTTCAAGAACATCAAGGTAATCGAGAAACAGAGTTTCACGACTCGGAAAGCACGATGCACGACGAGAGAGCGAATCACTAGCGAATGCCGGCGATAAAATTAGACATACTATATTCAGTTGCGCGTACGACGAAATGTAAGAAGTCGTCTGAAAGAAAGTTTTCTGAAAATTCGCGCGACATCACCCTTGTCTAAATGTCGGCTGCCGTGAATATTCTTAGAAATCAATACTTCGACGCCTTCTCGATGCTCGATAGAAATCCTTTATTATAAGCTGTCGACAATACGTGCCGCGAGTTGTCGAGAAATTGAAAATCTGCTTCTCTGCCGTGTTTTTCGCGCGACATTAACGTGCGAGTTTAATTGTTTAAAGAAATTGTGAATATTATTTCAGTGAAATAAAGATCGTCACTGTAATTAAACATTATGAAAAGATTACGCGTACAACGTGTCTGGCTGAGAATCATAGTGGTGTTAATTCATTGTTACTTTAGTTTTATTATTGAGAGAAATTGTGGAATATAAAGTATCATGGTGGAATATAAAGTTATAATTAGATCCACTATAGTGGATGTTTATTTAAATTTAAATTTTGATGAGCTTAGCTAAGGGAATAGAGAATCCTAATGTTTCGCTCATTAAATATTATAATGAGTATCGCACTTTGAATATTTTATATATCTTTTTTTCTTTATTTATTGCACGCATTCCACGCACTTTTGCAGTTTCAAATTTTCCAGAAGTAAAATAAAAATTAACTATAAATTAATTAATTTCAAATTTAAGTTTAAATATCACTCTTCTTGAGATTCGTATAATTTGTAATTTAATTAATTATAAAGCTGAGGAAAAAAGGTATCTGCACAACTATTTCTAATATCAAACTTTTATAATAATATGTGTATGACAGTATTACTAAATGACATAATATGTTATACTTGGAGTTAAATTATGGTGTGTATTATAACACACATCATAGCTATGTTCCTTTTTACAGTTCCAAATAAAAATTATGATACAAAATTATAACAGCAGTCTAATTATAACTTAATTAATCATAAACTAAAGAAACAATACTTGGCTATAAAAAATATAACATTTACACAACTGTTCCCAATTTTCATAGTATCAAATTTTTGTTCTAATAGAAAAGAATTACTAGATACAAAATTCAATACTACATGATATACTATATAATACTTGGAGCTAATCAGTACATAACATATAAATAGACACTATATACACATATAAGTACCATGTAACTATCATAAATATCATAATGTACAAATACTTTTTACAATGCATCACTGCAAAATTTGACTAAGTTCCACTATGATTTTCAGTCCACCATATGCGCGTGCATGCTTCGTTTCTTGTAATTGAATAGACAGCGTAATATGGTTGAAAAATCGCGTATGTAAATTTTCGCCATTCGATTGAACGGGAACCCTCTATACGCAAGTTCTTCCGGATATTACAAGCATCGAATAACTTCAACTTTCGCGATGCTCCCCACGTCCTCAATCATGATTCATACCGACAAGTATGCCTTCCTATCTTACATATGTGTGGTTACTCGTGCAATATCTGTAAATACAACGCGCGTGCATGTACTTGTACAGGCATTATCACATTAATCTTTTACGAGCATATTACCGTTTATTAACTCACGCAAATATTCGCATTCATCGATTCGCATACTGCACACTCCATAGAGAATTGTCAATTTTCTGAAGCAGATACGCGATTTATTAATCAGGATGTTGTCCTAGTGTTACTACTGTCTCTGAAATATTATTATTATTATTACTCTCTCTCTCTCTCTCTGTGTATTTATAGTAGATTGTGCTATTTTTACATATTATAATAGTCTTTCCTGCGTGTATTTGTAACAACTCACAGATGGTATTTTTAAATATTAACGTAGTCATACATATTTTTCTCCGTGTATTTTTTGATCAAATCTGATTCAATACTTTAACACGTTGCAAATATGTTTATTCTCATTTGTATTTTTTAAAACATTATTATTTATGACGAATTATGCTATTTTCTCGATTTTAGTAAAAATCTGATTTTTAGCACTTTAGCATGCTGCAAGCATATGAAATATCATCATTCTTCGTCGTATATATTTGTAATAAATTAAATTATTTTTAGATACTAATAGATATCATGTTCTTCTGTGTATATTTTTGGCAAATCTAATCTAATGTTTAAAGCACACTGTAAGTATATTCTTATTTATATTGCAAGTATTTTTTTAAATATTGTTATTCTTCCCTGGACATTTACATTGTATTATACTATCTTTAAATCTTAAATACAGTCGTACAGTTTTCTTATGTGTAACATGTATGTCATATTTATTTGTGTTTTGTTCATAATTCTGAATAAGGCACAATAACATTGTCGAAAATAGTGAACGAGTCAATATTACAGATATCTCAAAATAAATGGATAGATGAATTCATGTTTTCTTTCCGCTCTACCAATCCTTCCTGTCTACACTCTACACGGGCAACCCATGAGTCACGTGAAACTTGCTAACGCATATACCATACCATACGCATCGCATACGAAATGACCCATATGATTCAACACGCAGAATATAGAAAATACGAAAATAATAGAATTAGCAAGGTATTTAATCTAATTAAAATACCAAGATGTTCGACGAGCACCATTCTTTCATACTCTTTGAAGAATTACAACTTCTGGCATGTACAAATCACACAGTCTGCTATTAAAACAGCATGATATTACCTACGCCTGATTGTTTCTTATCACTTCATCTTTTTCTCACCAGAAGTCAAATTAATAAATAGTGACGATCGTTTCATGTATGAAGCTGACATTTCCAAGCGACGATAATTATACCATTTCGAATGTTTTCAATTCCTTTTATCCTCTCATCTAATCTGTCCCTTTTCCAGCAACTCTTTTGTCGAAAGTCGACGCATCGCGTGCACTCACTCGAGTCTAATTTTCACTCCCTTTCTTCGCCTCTGTGTGTGCGTGCGTGCGTGCATGTGTGTGTGTGTGTGTGTGTGTGTATGTGTGTGCATATGCAACCACTGCTCGTCGAATAATGCACGAAAGTGATTTGAAAAAAATTGTCATTATAGTTTAGCGACGATTTTCGTTATATACTGTGTAGATGGATTATTGATCCAGGCTCTGGTGACTGCGGGGATGTGGCTGTAGGTTGGTCTAACATGCGCATACCGCATCAAACTCACAAGTACAGATTTTTCCTTTCATCCGCTATTTTCCATTTACCTTTTACTTAATTTTCTGTCACGACAAATCGTCCCTTCAATGCATTAACGACCCATTTCTTAATCATTACTCACGCTCACCTCCATGCTCCGTCTCATTTTTCATGCAATTTCTGACAATTGAATTTGCTCCAATTGAATTTTAATTCTGTTAATGAATAATCTTCTGGTTGAATCAACTATAAACGATCTATTTTATACGCGTGAATAATAGCGTCAATTTCACAGCGTTACCAACATGTCTCGCCTGTTTCATCATCAATGAAAATTTGCACGACAGAAATCAGAAGGATATTCTAAATTTTCCCAAGATACGTTCAATTTAATTTCCGCCAATAAGTAACTCTTCTCTTTGCGTAACTTTCTCTTTGGCAAATTTTTATAACACGTTTCGTGTGTATTTCGTCATTAATGGAAATTCGCGCGACAGATAAGTTTCCAAACTTTTTTTGAAGTAAGTTCAAAATTAATTAACGATTGATTTTCTCAAATTTCTTCTTTTTTTTTACAATATTTATTAAGCACGGTGCATTTAATAATAAAACAAAATGAAAAGTAGAAAGTTACTGTCAGGTGTGGCTCAACTCTCACATGTGAAAGCATGATCCAAACGTGATACCAAACAATAAGGAAATAGGGAATTAAACTATCAATCGCCAAATTTGGATAACAATGAGATCCTAATGTTTCTTGGAAGTTGATAACCAATAATTAATGACTAACCGAGGTACAACACGGTTTCTTCACTAACCAACGTCCATTCAAACTCCGCCTAGCAACAAGGGGGACCTCGATAAACTTGTTGGGTAAGCTCGTCCGATAAATCGGAAGGAATACGCACAACGAAGAAGAACCGTTACCGCTTGGCTTCATGTGCGGAACTAATACCACGAGATATGTATATGAAACCATAATTGTTGTCAGAATCTCAATCGCAAACTCGAAGTATCCACTTATCAATATCCCATTTTATATCCCTTCTCTTAATGTTCTACTACGTTAACCCTTGATTAATTTAAAACGAAGGATAGAAATCACTGAATCGAGTAATGAAGTCTGTTTCAATTTGATAATATGTTAATTGATATCAAGGTTCCAAGTAGAATTAACGTTATTTTTATTTTTATTTTATTAACTAAAACGGGGGAAAGGGGATGATTTTAGATTTTTCTTTCTTTTGTACTAATCTATGTAAATATATAGAAATATCTATATAAAAATGAAGTTAATTTTCTTTAGAACATCTAGATGCAATTCCAATATTAATAATGTAAAATCAAAATTTAGGCACAACAAATTCATTACTTAGTTCTCTGACTTTAGGTTTTCCCTTCCTTCGTTCTAATTAATATAATTTAAATTTAAAATACAGAGTAACGAAATTCATAAGTAGTGAAATTGCCAAAAATGCATTTAGAATGTTCTCTAAGAAGGATCAATACTCTTCTTATCAACATTAGAATGAAAGAAATAAGAATCCAAAATCACAAAATCAAACAGCGAAATGTGCTTCAATTTTAATGTGTTAATTGATCTTGAAGGGTGAACCAACGAGAATCAACGTTTATTCTTATCTATAATAAACAAAAGAAATAAACATCTAAACTGAACAGAACCAAATTAATTAAACCTATTTCGAGCTTCATGTACTAATTGATATTAAAAAGTATGTTCCAAAGACAATTAACGCTAATTCCTATCTAGATTGAAACGCAGAAAATAAAACCGAGTAACGGAACGTGTTAACTTATACTAAAATTAGTATCGAGGATGCGTCTAGATGTTCTAGAGAGGATTTCTCGAGGATCATCGTATTATATTACGATGATCAGTGCTTTAATCAAGTCGCGCTTACCTTTTGCAAGGCGGTTTAAGATGAGATCTTTATGCTGCGCGGTATGAGGCTCTGGAAGCACAACGAGAAGGTAACAACCACTTAGTGGCGACGGTGGTGGATGCTGTTGTTGAGAGCCCGGTTGCACCACACTACCGGTCACCGGTATAACTGGAGATACATTTTGTTCAATATTTGGTGATATTGTACTTGTCACCCCTCCCCCTCCGCCCTCTCCAGTAGGATCCGTGGTACTCATTGCTAGAACAAAATTGAACAATCAAATTAGATAAAAAAGACAAGAGAACTTCATTCCTATAAGATTACTTAGTAAGGTAATTTATTAACAGCCACTACTAATTAGACTATAAGTAAGTATAAATGTACTTAACAATTGATAAATGTAATGTTTAATAATTAACAATTAATGTACTTTAAATAATTAGCCTTAGACGAATGAGATTCCCTATCAGTAATTGGCAATCTATCTACAACCGATTGGCTGTCCCTTTTCACTAACAGTTAACCATATATGACATCTGACATGTTATGACATCATGCTAGAGCTGACCCATACTACTTTCATGTATGGCAGCTGTACCATGATTGATGATCGTTAGTTTAACACCATACGTGCATTTCGTACATGTATGCTATGCATATACAAAAAAGCTCGAAACAAAAAAAAATATTGATCATTCTCATATATATCGGTAGTATCGAATGCAATTTGTTCTCTTTTATATATTCGATTCTAGCTCTATCTGTGTTGCCAATGACGCTATGTACAGTTAGAATATGAGCATGCCAGTGAAAAAAAAATCTTTTCAAATGAAACGAGATTGCTTGAAACTTTCGCATTTTCATTTAATGCAATTAAATTCATTAATCACTGTCTTGATTACACGAGGAAATAAAGGAATAAAAAAAAAGCAATTGAAAATGCCCATCGAACTTCGTGCAAACGTGTATGCGCATTTTGGAATAAACCCTTACCGAAGCAAGAAAATTTCGAAGAGATTTTACGAAAAGGTCACCGCGTCGACACACCGCGATTTCATGCGGACCGTGTTGGCGTTAAGTATTGCGCAGGATTTGCACGACCCTTTCCCTGAAAAGCGGTAGGGCTATGTCCTATCGTCGAATGCGCAGGATCCGAGCTTCTCCGTGAGAACCGACCTTAGATCATTGATCCAAATTCGGGCTAGCTAACTACAAAAACAGCCCATTAAATACCTATTCTTAATAGGTAATTTCAATGAAACGATTGATTTCTTAATGAAAAGCTGTGACTACGAAAAGACACGAATCAGGTGTTAAACAATCAATGGTAACTGCGATCGAAATTACAACATTCGTCGTTTTACCGTGGTCGATGCACTTCGTGGAAAAAGTGCAAGAAATACGAGGAGAAAAGGAAAAAGAAAAAAATGAAAGTAGAACACCTCGCCTCACGTTGTCGTACTCAGCACAATATGTAACACTTTACTCCACAACATTGGAATAAGAATGTCAAACGGACACCCTAGTGAGTATCGGCACTGCAGTCTACCCCCTTAGTAACAACCCCTCCCGCAGTCCACCTAGCCGGCCGATAAAATCTATACATAGTTATCACCAGAATGTTATCGAAAGTTTCGTGAAATTCGAATCACCTCGAATAATCTCGTTAACGCTCGCACCAAGAACCATCGTAATTATATTTCATCAGCTTACCTCGTTACGTGATACGATTATCCAGTTTTAATTGTTCGATCTTTCGATATATACGGTATATAATCCAAGAACGGTGTTCTTTCCACGGGGAGAACGTAGATAGCGCTCTGGGGACGAGAATAATATATCCGTGAAGGGAACAGTCGAATCTTAACAGGCTGCCCCGTGTGAACGTTTCGATTTCGCTGTTTCTTTGGTGGCCGATAGTACGTTTAAAAAGAAAGAGAGAGAAAAAAAGAAGAGAAAGAAAGAGAGAAGGGAGTTTAGTAAAAGAGAGGCAAATGGAGGAGAGCGACAGGAGATCGAGCTGTTCGCAAATACGGTGGTAAAAGGGGTGAACCGTTGTGGGACACAGCGACACTAAACGTAGATCGGAACGAAGACCAAGACGATGCGTGTCCCTTCTTTATCTGTAGAGATGGAGGGTTGACAACGATTCCGTCGTTTCCGAGTTCCTTTTCTCTTTTCTCTCTCTCTTTTTTCTTTTTTTTTTTTTTTTTTTTTTTTTTGCTTGTTTTACTACGAATTCACGAATGTCTCTTCTCCCTGTCTGTTCCAAACGATATTTCAAACTCGAATTGACTCGGCAGCAACTCTCGCGTTGCGGGCTGCCGGCTCTCTAACAGACTGCGATACCCTTTGCCGCTACCATGCAAAGACCACCCCCTCTCCGAGGATTGTTCCGGTATCCCCACTAGCGATGCGCACTGGCTCGGCTACTTTAGTTCGCGCAGTCCCGACTATCCATAACGTCTAGTCATTCGGTTTTCACACACGCGCGCATACCTACACAGACGCAACATCTCCACAGCATCGGAAACGTCGCAATGTAGGCACCATTTAGGTGTATAACAGGCACCATGCTATATACATACACACGCATACGGTACAGAACATACTCGACCAGCCAGAAGTACGGCATCGTACCACTTTTAGTTCCACGTTTGCGCATGTGTGTGCATGTACGTGTAATGCTTGTACGTGTGCAAGTGACCGACACGACCGGCAAGCCGGCCGGCACGATGTCGGGAAACGCCGGTATCGAGGGAAAGGACTCCCGGGCACCGGAAACCAAGGAAAAACCGGGAAAGTATTACCCGAAACTTAGAGGTCAACGTTGTTCATTTTCTGCAATACAAGTGCGGTTTTAGAAGAGAATGTTACGAGAATGTGAAATAACGACCGGCTAAGAAGGCACGCGATACATCTGTCTGCCATTACGCCGGCCGGCATACCATGAGAAATTAAAGAACCGTACCTTATTTGTTATCCGTAGTAGGTATAATTATATAAAACAACGAAACGCCTGTTAAAATAAATAATATTACTATATTACAAGTATAACTTCGTGTTTTATCATTGAAAATGTTCAAATGTTTCGACATCTTCGAAATTATTTAATTATTCTTACCGCGTTTTAAGTCTCACGTTAGAGACACTTTATGTTGGGCACAACATTGATCATTCTTCTTTTTAGATCTTTCAGGTATTTACATGATTGTATAGAACGTTATACTTATTATTTTCGCGACAACAAGCATGCAATGATGCCAGAACATATATCATACTTGATGACTGCCACATATACTATTTGTCGCACTGCAGGGAGAATCTGTTGCTGTAATTCTTATTGCTTTACTTTATTATCGTTCATTCTATATCATTAAGACGAGATCTAACAAAAGAGAGAGCTTGAAATTTCTTCACTGCGAATAAATAAAATTAGAGATTTATAAATAAATAACTATTTTGAAAACTTTCAATCTAACATGAAATTAATTAAATTAAATGAATGTTACCTGTTGTTTAATTGTTCCTAAATTGATTTCTATTTCCTACTAATTTCTGACTAAAAATAAACCAGAGTAAACTTCAACAGATGGAGCAGATAATTATATCATCGGTTCGACACAGGATCAATAAACTCTACCATCCAAGTAATTTGATTCCATCAAATCAACAATCTACGCATTTACGCATTTTTTCCAAATTTACTCAAGCATCGCATTGTGACAATTTCATTTTCTCGCGTAATATAAAACTTTGTGTAAAACAGATTCAATTTTTAATTAAATTTTCATCAAGTTTCGAGAAAATTTCCAATTAAACATTCAGACAAATCTAAAATAGATACATTTTGTAAAAAAAATACTTTGCCAACAGTTATGTTATCAATTACGTAATGAAACTGCTTCAGCCATATACAGATGTACGAGCATATAACTACAACTGCAGATGTAAACTCTGTTGCTTAGTCAATAACATTTATTTGTCTTGTCAAACTGTAAAAAAAATTTGCAAATTTTCTACTAATTGAAACATATATAATTATTTTATAACACCTAGCATTTAGTTCGTATAAAGATATAAAAATAATTATTTACATTTATCCGGCAATTTTAAATCCATTAAAAAGAGCAAATTGGAAAAGAACAGTATAATATAATTAAGATTCGTTGATCGTACGGTCAATACATCGATTCATTGGCCGTCTTCGATTGCCGCATTGCATCTCACAATCTTCAACCCTGTACCTATGAAATATCGTACCCGATTAATGTTTCTGTTTCAACTTTGTCATGAATATCAATGTTTCAAAATTACTTGTATACACTCCTTTCTAATCCTCCAAATTTTTCGTTTTCATTCTAATTAAAAAAGTATTTCTATTTTTTTTTTTTTTTTACTATTCTTTCTTTCTCTTCTTTTCTTTTTCTACATTATCAAACGCATAATTATGTATGCAAACGTATGTACATACACACGAATTTATCTGTATGTGACATATGCTCATTTCACTTATAAAAAAGGAAAAAAAAAAAAAAAGATAATCGCGCAGTGCGTTAGAAGAATTATTGCGTATCGCAATTAGTATTTCGAAATGTTAATAGGGCATTGTTATTTTCTCTTCTTATTAAATGCTTCAAACTTTCATAAACGTTTCCGTGTCAAAATATAATATCGAATAGAATTCGAGCGTGATCAGGGTACGAGTCAGAAGTTTTACAGTGCTGGCCATAGTACGCGGCGCTAGTATTGAGCGGCACCCCTTACTAACCGTGTTGAGAATATCAGAAGCCAAAATATAGCATCTCTTCGAGTCGGATACTGTCTCTTGTCGTAATGACGATGCGCCCTACGTTCCGCACTTATTCTACGTCCCTCCATGCAGTGACGTAGCTAAATGCGTTCACACGCGAGACATCGCGACGACACATATGACGTTTCGATGTACACGATACCTGCATTCGATTCAATTTACGTCTACTCTAACGACGTACATATGTATAAATCAATTAAAAGTCCATCTTTCGAAACATACCTACGTATTTTAATGAACACAATGTTGCGCCTAAAAAATTAAAAAAAAATAAAATAAAATGAAAGTATCAGATATAAGTTTGTCAAAAAATTAACGATTTAATGGCAATAACTAAAAATTTTAAAAAAACAGATGTTTCAAAGTAGCGTCCCGTATAAAGATACGTACCTAAAATTTCTACTCGATTTTATAGCAATTAAAATACTAATTAAAGAGTCCGTGACTAAAAACTCGGCGAAGCGTGATAAAACACTAAGCGCCTCCGTTCAGAAACCGTTCAGTAACATGTGTGTGCACGTGTGCTTATTAAATATCTTAACATTTGCATCGGCATCATTATTACATCGTTCGAATTATTTTACACTTGGCGTCTCCTGTATTGTAGTCAGTGATGCGATACTTTCCACAGCTATAGGCGTCGGTGGCCTCCTTTTCAAGATTTCGAATTTTTCTCCGGCGATAAAGCACGTTTACCTCTTGTATCGTCTGCATAACGAACATTAATAGATTCCCCTTTAATTGTCTACGTCTTGCATTCTAGTTGCACCGGGCAAAAATCTACAACTACTAAAGTTTTATAAAGTATCCTCTCGTCTTTGGTAACATTGTAATTAAATTTTTCATAAGCTAATCGAAGATTAATGACCAGAAGGGACGATTATGTAATTGGCGTTCTCGTTGCTCAGTGTTCTACAATTTAGAAAGAGTAATTATCATTAATTTCGCACACATCTGTCAATATTATACGAGAATATATATATATATGAAAAACATGAATCCAAAATCGCAAATTTAACCAAGATAGCAGGGCTGGGCGTTCACGAGGCGCCACAACGACGGCGTCTCATCGATCTGACTAGCCGAATACCGCAGCCACTTACAATATACACAGACCGTATACCAATGCCATAGAAAATCCACGTATCTGCAGGAAGAACTGCCAACTACTGCAAACAGTACGTCGTGTCTTTAATCGAGATTTTTTTAATCGTCTACTTGTCTCATTCGTTACTTGTCAAATTTATCGACCTTCACATAGAAATAAATTATCTTCTAGGAAAGCTATTCTATCTCTCTTCACATACTTTATTCTGTTTCTTTCTCAGCGAACTTAAAACATATGATAATTTATTAAATGTATCTAAGAGTTTACGAATTAGGACAAGAGCAGAAATAATTGGAAAATGTGTATATCCTATATTTTATTGAAATTAATTTTCCTTTCGTGATAATGTAATATCGCCTCTGCCGAATAGTTAATAAGCGCGGAAATGACCATGGAAAATTAAAAATCATGGTGGCAAATACGACTACATGAATTAGAAGCAATACAAGAAATTGTCTTTAAATATGAATTTCAACAGAAGAACAATCAATTTAAATGTTAAAAAATAGACGTATATTTTTTTCATTCTTGCAAAGTGACGAATATTCTACTGGCGCATGAAATTTTGAACAATCTTTCCTACGTGATCAATATATCAAATGACTTTAATAGTTCTGTTTCCCTTGCCCTTTTTTTGACGAACACAATGCCATCTTGCGTTTAATTGCAAGTCTCAGTGCGATCATATGATTGCATACTATTCATATGTGTTGTGTTGTGTTGTGTTAAATGTGAAATGGTACTATATTTATTTAATATTACAATTATATAGCCTCTCAAGTAAATAGATTAACAAAGTAAAAATAAAATGGCACGATAGATTGAGTTCGATTTTACTGCAATCATCACAAATCTCACGAAAATGACAAACAAAGACGAAGACACGTTTTGTAAAAAAATGCGAAAAGCCACGAGAGAAATTCATTCGATCAGTGACGCATTAGTGAATGCAAAATTAGCATTTGGTAAGAAACAATTCTTCTAATTAACATTTCAACTAATTTCCAATTTGCATTTTTTTTTATGTCACTGTAATATATAGGTTAATGGAAATGCTATATTTTGATATATACATGTGTAACATTTGATCAAATTCTTCAGTTTTTTTAATTCAATATTCATATCTGAATAACTCTATATTGATCCTGTTATTAAGTAACACAATGAATATTTATTCTAAGATCATTGTGCAATAAACTAATGATAGATTACATAAAGTTTAAATAGAACATGGGAAATATCATTGATTTTAAATAGGATTTCTTGATGACTCTGTGTGGGCTGATGGCCTTCTGATTTTCTATGAAATTTTTCGATATTTGGAACTTGCTACGATCAGATGGAAACATACAGAAGTAGGGTCGCTTTTACAAGACGAACTTCGTCGTACCAAAGCGTTTGAGCATGATCTTGAATTTTATCTGGGAAAAGAATGGACAAAAAATTATAATCCTAGGTAATTTCTTTTGTACGGAGTTTATATTTGTTCATTTAAACAGAATTAATTGTAATTTATATTATATTGATCACTCAGAGAATTTAAAAACACTTTTAAACTATTTACAAAAGCAATAGATCTTCAATTTAAGATTTGATTTATACTTGATGTCTTTTCAAATTTTAGGGAGAGTGTAACGAAATATTTAAATCATTTAAAAGAAATTGAAAATACGGAGCCCATTTTACTGCTTGCGTACATTTATCATTTGTACATGGGTCTCCTAAGTGGTGGAATTATTTTACGCAAAAAGAGACAAGTTATGCAAAAGATTTGGCCATTTAAAGAATTTCAAACAACTGTTAATAACATTACAGATTTTGGAAACAGTAATATTCACGAACTTAAACGAAATATGCGCGATACTATGAATAGTATCGCGGAAACATTGGACGAAGATACAAAAAATAAACTTATTGAAGAAAGCAAAATAGTGTTTACCTTGAACAATGAAATTATAAGAAGTATAGACGGTGCAGGCACTATTCTTATTAAAAAAACAATGTATTTTGTTATTCCCGTTATGATATTTCTCTTAGCTCTTTTTATAGCTATAAGGAAAGTATGATGTGTATATATCCATTTTGAATAGGAATTTCTATTTTATTTGTATGAAAATTATTTTTAGACTCGAACTAAACATATCTATCGTTAAATATTCAACGCATGTACATATAAAGAATGTAATAGAATATAAAAAAATAATGTAATAGAACATTTGAATAACCTGGTTGTAAAATTAAAAAAAAAAACTAAATATAGATTATTTCACATTTTGTTGAATAAAAATAAAATGAAATATACAAGATATTTCTCTTATATAAAAAATAAGTACCTAGTGAAAGTAAAAATACTTGAATACGTATTTTACATTATTTCGATGATTTTTATCGTGTATTATGTAAGCGTATTTGTATTGTACTTCTGTATAATATTCTGCATTGTAGTAATATGTCGGATACATGATAACAAAAAGAAAAAAAATCTTTAAATGTCTAATAACTAAAAATTAATAATGTATATATTTAATACTCCGTTAACTCGATAAGTTTGAAAAACCAGTTTGCTGAGAAACTGTTGAGATCACAAATATTTAAAATCACATTTAATTGTAAATCTTTGTACACTATCATCCATTTGAACTTATACAAATATTATAAAAATGTAATATAACTAACGTAAGCTTACTGAGTATGATTCCATATTTTCTAAAATTATTTTAAATAATTTTATAAACAATCAAGTATTGCTTGCTTGTCAAATTTAAAGTTTGCCCAAATCATTGAACATTCCATGGAATATTCTTGGGTTTCGATTTTATCTATTGGAAAGAAACGCGATGTGCTGTTAGTCATTACCGTAAAAGGAGAAGGTATAACTTTTAAATCTGTTTGCAATTTATTTGCTGCTCTCCCAAATAGCAAAGATTTTATATTTCCATCTGGAAATTTTGAATTTCGAAGTTCTTGAGATATTTGATCTGCAGAACAAAAAAAGGTTTTCCTTATATTAATAAATTCACTCACATAATCAATTTTAATTATAATATTAAGTACCAAACCTTTTGTTAAAGCTTGAGCTTTGTAGCTAAATTCGTTACATTTTACCGACTGAATAGCTGGATCCATTAAAAATGAGCATGCTTGTTGATTTTGAGGACTATCGGTTAATTGTTTGGCAAGTACAGCTGATGTTTCATCTTCATTTTTATCCCCAAATAGATTACGTTTAATCGCTGCTTTAGGCATAACATTTTTACACTCATGTATATTACGTCGATTTCTCGCTGGCGATGTATTAGATTGTCGGAAGTTCTTCACATCTTTGAAGCTTGGAACATCACTCTAGAAACAGTTGCAAGATTACATTAATATTATTTTCACATGGAAATATACAATTGAGCGATTTGGATGATTTAATTACTTGAACAGAATTAGGAAGTAATTGCCGTTTATTCTTTGGAACACTTTCTACATCACCCACGGATTTATGTCTGTGTCTTCGTATGGCATTTGTATTTTTATCACGTAAATATTTTTCTTGTATCCAACGCCTCATCCTTCTATTTGAAAATTACAATAGAAAAATTGTACTTTTAAAATATATCTTTAATATATTTTTTATCTAAATCAATTTTCTCAATAACATAATTATAATTATATAAATTATATAAACAAGGACATGACATAATATAAAAAAAGATAATAGATAACAATGTATACATTATATCTTTGAAATGAAGTAATTCATTACCTTACAAAAGGAATAACCATAAAAAATGCATTTGGACCAACTCCTGTCTTTAGTTTTGGGGTCATATCTTTCTTGCTATTAGGTAAATCCGCAAGAGAGAACCATTCCACATTTTTTATTTCTTTCCTTGTTTTCGGTTGAAATTTTGTATCTTTCTGTACACCGCATATTATGTACAATCTTACTAATTGCTCATTTATTGTTGACTCAATGTATTCATTTTCATCTATTAAATTTGAAATATCAAAACCGGTTTCTTCCAAAACTTCTCGAACAGCACAATGAGACGGATCTTCATCAGCATTAACTTTACCCTTAGGAAAGCTCCAACTACTTTTTGCCCAATAACTTTGAACAAGTAGCACTTTAGTTAAATCCTCGTTCAATACAATTGCTCCAAAAGTTGGCACGTTTTGTTTATAGGCGCGCCATTGTTCAAGAATGCTATCTACGTTACTTAGATGAGGCTTTAGAAATGGTATGTGAAAAAAAATACGAGCGGTGAATTCTCTCATGCTACATGGTCTCAATTTTGGATTTTCATCCGTACAATAAAAGTCCAAATAAAACCAGTGAGCCAGTTCGACTTGAAAACATATTCGAATTAAATCTCTCCTCTCTTCTTCAGGTACATTGATAATAAATCGACTGAAAATACCAAAATCGCGCAGTATTTTCAATACAAAATGAAACAACATGAACAAAATCAAATAATTGTATTAAAAAAACGTCTTTCCGAAAATTAAGTTCAAAAACTAACCTGCTTAAATCGTCGAGGATATCGGATGGTATTGTATGATCCACCATTTCCGAAATTAATGACACGATCACAATATCTTTTTTTAAAGCGTAACCTTTTAACCATCAAATGCACACACAATCATCGTATATAACCACAACTCACATATTAATTTTAACTATCCAAATTCAGTTTTATTACGCCATTCCATTCTTTTTCTTTTTTTTTTTTTTTTGATTGGTGTGTACCATCTAACCTCCTTTAATAGTATAAAGACCGCCATATTGTACTAGAGCGAGTTTCAAACTAAACAGAATTCTTTATTTATTTATTTAAATATTATTTATTTTATTTAATTATTATATATTTATTTTCTCCTTTCTCATAATTAATTCTTAAACTTTTAGCATTGCTATATTAATATAGATGCTTTGAGAACATTTATATATAATTTTAAAAAAATTTCCTTTTAAATGATTAATAATCAATCATTAATTAGTAACAATAATTCTGTAGTGTTTAAACCAACAAAATAAATTTTTAAATTGTTTAATTAAGAAAAATCAACTTACATATTGAATGCATTTATTTTAAAGTTGGTACTTTTAAATATGCTTACGTATAACTTTTATTCAAATTTCGAAAATAATTTTCAAAAAAATTAAGCGAATGTTTCGATTTGCTGTAATTTTAAATCTTCATTCATAGATTTTATAGAATAAATCTATATTTCATGGGATAAATAGAATATAGAAGAAAAACCGAACCTGCAATCATAAATGTTTGTAAATTTCTTCTCATAATTAGTTTTTTTCACTGATTGAATGAAAATTTCATCAAACACCGATATTGAAATACGCTGCGTAGCAGTCCTTGTACATTATTGCGCTCCTTGTCTGTCATACGGCATATATCTGTTCTTATTGCATATAAGTATAGTAATAGTGATTAAATAAACTTTCATTTAAAAAGAAATTAATTGGCAAAATTAATTTGTGAAATTTAAATAATAAGTTAAAATGTTAAATAATTGTTGAAATACCTTGTTAATTATTTCCTAAATCTTTTTCCTTTGTTTTCTTATGATCTTTGAAATATATAAGAATTTATTAACCTGTTACACTATGATATCTATTTGATACTTAATAATGCAATGGACAAGAATCAAATGTATAAATAAAGAATTAATAAAACAATTTCAAATATATCCACTTGTAAACAACATATATTATTGTCTTCCTCTTTATAAATCCATTGGAAAAAATTCATTTTTTACAAGTACATATATGTAACATGTGTAATATTGCTTCATACATTTGCAATATCGTTTACTAAGTAATTATTTTTAAGATTTGTTCTAATATACAATTTATGTCCTCACTATTATTTGTCACTTTCAAATCCCATGTATTTATATCATCTAAATTACATTCAGTTTCTGAATCGTCAATACCTGTGACATATTTCTCACAATTAATAATACAAATACATGTAAAAATGATTATATTGGTTTTTTCTTTTACTTACCTGGATTAAATACCCAGCCACGTTTGTTCCTAACTAAATCATCTGATTCAATCCGAATTGTTTTACATACATCTTTAAAATTTTCTACAAACCATTGTATATCAGTTTTTCTTCGCGCATCACTCACTATCCATATAGGTTTGCTAAATACTACAACAAATTGTCATACAGTATCATATAAAATGTTAATAATAAATTATAATGCAAAATAATTTTCTACCATTATACATTTCTAAGGCCGCACGACAAAAATAACCATAATCTTCATTCCTAATGTTCTCTCCCCATTTTGCCATTTCAAGGCGATAATTCTCTTTGTATTTGCCATCTCCTAAAAGCTCATCAACGTTCAAACCACGGGTCTTAGCCCAATGAAATTTAATTGGTCCGGATAATCTTATAATGACACTCCTATCAGATCCAATCCTACATTGAAAAAACTATCATTAACATATGATCTTAGATTACATCATTCTTAGTTATTTTATTATCATTGAAAACTGATCACCTTTCGTGCAAAGCATTTGTAATATAATCCTTTCCAGACTTTCTCTTACCACTAAATAATAAAATTATTTGTGGTCTGAATGAATTTTTATGGCTTATTTCAGAATCGCCGGTAAACTGATCAGTCGCCATATTGAATTCGCACTATAATCATTTAAATATATAAAATTTAAATATCAAAAGACCATATAGTTTTCTTCATTCAACAATATCAAATTTGTTACTATATAGATAATTGCTTATTTTCATTAATCATTAAGATTAAAAATATTAGGCATATTTAAGTATTTGGGAATTGAATTATAGTCGTTTCTATGTATTCAGATATTTTTCTTTGCATATACATGAGAATGCATACATTAATGTTATTATAAATGCACATATCCGTATTAACATAAACTTTTTTTCTATTAAATGTAGATACTTCTAACTTTTAATACAAAATGAGAAACTAAGATATTTACAGAAAAAATTGATTAAGTTAATGAAAATAAACAAAATCAAAATGCTAATCCAAGAAAAGGATACCAAAAAGAAGTTTGGAACGAACATTTACAAAAGGATATAGTATTTCAGCTATATAGAAAGAGAATTGAGTACGTATGTTAATTGCAAATTATATCAAAGGAACCATAAAATAAAAAAAATTATCAAATTAAATTTTTTTTTGGAATTTTTATTATAATAAAATCATTTATATATGAGAGAACTATTTTTTAGCTTCACGAAGGGCCTTACGTTTCTCTGCCCTCTTTAATTGTTCTTTCGGTTTCAAATTGTGTTTCTTCGCAAAACGTTGGTTCCTTAAGAATTTTAGATCCATCTGGAAAAAGATGTCAAAAATCTTAAAGTCATTTACTATTTAAAACAATGTTATTGATAAAATAAAAAGAACTTCTTAATAACAAAAACATAAAAGAAAATATTTTAATAATATAATTTAAAATTCTACTTATGATTAGAAAGGGTAAAATTATTACTTTAAAAATTTAAAACTTACACCAAGCGTAGATTCATGCCTGTAACGTTTTGGTTTTTTGATGCCATTGCGATGAGCTTTACGATCTAGAAATCAAAAAATATCAAGCACTATATGATTTATACTTTACATTTTAAAATTAATGAATTTCACTTCGTGTTATATAATTATTTACACTCACTTTGATTATGATTGGTATGATTCTTGGACTTTGCCATTTTTCTCTGCTAATCTGAAAGAATAATAATCTTCGTTAATTACAAGATAACATGTCATAAACAATATTTGAGGTTATAAATTTCTCTTAAGATCAGATTATATCGAGAATTGAATTGAGAAAAAAAAGATAATGAGAAATTAATACAAATTATTTTTATACACTCGTATAAAATAATATACTAATATAATAATATCAATTAAGTAGAAGATTATTTGGATATACTAAATTTATTACAAACCTACGTGACTCTTACTCAAAGTCGGAAGAGGAAGTCTAAGTTAAAGAGAAATAGTATATGAGAACGATAGTAGCGCCAAATACACTTTTGTTTTCTACGCCTCCATTTTTTGAAGTTTAATTCAAAATTTGAAATATGATCTTTAAAAATAGAAAATGAGAAACGTAATAATATATATTATATGTTTATTATATTTTTCACATTTTTATAACATATAACATTTTTTTAACAATGGTTAAATCAAATTGAAAATTTGATCCGTGAAAAAGTTAAAACAATGTTAAAATTTTATAATGTTTTTTGGAATACGCAACATATAAATATAATATTCTAAGATTTATACATATAATCACTTTTTATAAATATATTTTCATACTAGTATATTCACAAATTATGTGATATACACACAGACTAGCATTAAGACTAGTGATTTAATGATAATTATACCTGAGGTAGGAATCAGTGTTATTTATAGACCTATTATTTATATAAATAACAATCATTTGATGCTTTGTCTCTAGACATGCACACAGATGCCAAAATACTGTATTGCTATTTTGTATTCATTTATAAAAGATAATTAAAAAAGTCATTAGTATTTGTGTAATATTAAGTTAAATAGAATAATAAATAATCTTACTAAAATATGTATCATAAATAACTTTTTCATGCTTTATTATTTAATATTCATTTAAGCGTGTGTATGTCACAGAAATTACAAACAGTACATCTTCTATATAAAATATTGCCTTTCACAGAAAATTATTTATAATATAATATTTATATAAACAAGTATAAATAAACATAATGTGTTTATTCTATCACACTAAAGACTAAATATAATTTAAACTCAGTATTACATATCAGGTTTGTGACAAACATGTTCTCATAATATATGTATGTATACAAGTTATGGAATGCCTGTTGAATTGTAAGATACGATTCATAGACCCGAAATTTTTCTTTGTAGCGCAATCCAATCTATTATTTTTTGTTGTATTTTTCTTTTCTCTAACAAAACTTCAGCAGCTCTTTGAAATTTTTCTTCATTTCTACGTATATACATTTTTGCATCTTGTTCTAGCTGATTGATCTTCTCAGGACGTATTTCTACCATTGACAACATCTCCGTTAAATATGGATTAAAGCGAAAGTAAACGTATTCAGGTAGAAGATCGTTTAACGTAGTATGTACAGCTGCATAGTATATCATTATTGACATTTAAGTATATATTCCACATAATATGATGAAACAATATTTTAGAAGTAATTTTATAAATTAATACCTTCTGTATCAGTTGCGCTATCTAGAATTTTATAAAACTTATCCTTCCAACTTGAAGTCGCTATTTCTGCCATTTTACTGCTAGTGTCATTCATTTGATGCGGCGTTCGCCCAGTTCCAAATGAAACCACACACTGAATTGGACTATTTGGCCATAATTGTTTGGCTTCGTGTAATGCAACTGCACATGGATTATTTACCAGTATACCTACATAAAACATTTAAGCATTTAAGTCCTGTTTCTTATGGTGCCGAAATATTCGATTTTTATGAAATATATTAATCTATACCTCCATCTTGATGCAGATATCCACCGCATTTAAATTCTTCAAAATAACTAGGTGCTGCTGCGGATGCTCTAATGGCTTCCCACAATTTATGCTTGTGAGATCCTATGTACAAACTTTCAATCCTATGAGGTAAAGTATAATTTCTAAATACATAGGCCATTACACGTTCCTTATTTACAATAGCAGATATAGCTGAAAACTAAAAAATTACTATATATACAATATAACGATACTTAAAAGTAATATTTTGTTTATTAGTAAGAAATAACAAATACTTTTGGAGCAGCAGGATCACGAACTGTTTTTATAAGAATTTTTTCTCCTAAATTTTCTTGCAGTAATTTTTCCCAGAGTGCTGTATCATAATATCCATGGCTCCATACCAAATTACTTGTACCTTTTATTGCACTTTGAGTAAACACTTTAGTACTTAATTCCTTGTATAATTCGGATATTTCGAATAATGATTTTCGTTTATGTCCACCTACAAACAACGTAATTCTCAATAAAACTGTTAGATCTTTGAATATTTTAAGAATGTATTATGTATACCTAAAGCAGCAGCAAGAATAGCCCCTGTACTCACACCACATATGTAATCAAACATTTCATGAGTTTTCTTGCCTGTCAATTGCTCAAGCTTTTTTAACATTTCTATAACTAATACTCCACGCATACCCCCACCATCAATAGAAAGAATTCTAATACCTTTGCCAGGCAGGGGTTCAACATAACCCAATATTGCTAAAGCTTCTCTAATAGATGCTGAAATGAAGTTAAGAACATTCAAAATATTAAAAACATTCTCTTTTATTCACTATCTTTAAATCATTGTATACCTTTGGTTTGTTCATCTCTAACTTTTTGTCTAGTTCTAAGCAATATTCTTATTGCTCCCTCCTTAATTGCATAATGCCTGGCTTCTGGATATTGATCAATGTGTATTAATAAATCTTCAATCCTTCTCCAACGTGAAGCAGTTGATTCAGCTGTTACTATAGCGTTCAACACATGGCGTGTTCTAGATGTAATACTATGTTTTGAAATACTTTCATGAATATTTATTTTCCATTTTGGTGATACAACTAATCTGGCTGTTTTACTTTGTACAGAATTAAATATCAGTCCACCAAAAAAGTCAGAAATACTTTGCGATGCTGCTTTGACTTGAACTGTAGTTTCACTTGCTTTATCTTCATCAACTGGCTACATAAATTGTTGAACATAAATTATGTAAAAATTAAATTTTTTTATAAGATTTATTACACATTATTTAAAATATATCAGTTACCTTTTTACATTGAATACTATCGGTAGTTGTTATTCCTTCTCCCTTATGTCCCCCTATTATATTCTTTCTTTTTACTTTACTACTATCACATTTTTCTATATCTGCCGTTTTATTGTTATTTTCATTCTTTGAAAATTCGAGCGTCGATAACTTTTTCAAAACATTCATTTGTGAGTACGTCATCCTTTGCAAGAAATCTGGCCAGTGTTTAGAAAATATGACTTGCAGATTTTTATCATAACCAGCTTTGTTTAAGTGATCCTTTAATTGCAGTAAAAATTTTGAATGACTCTGCATAGTCATTTTTGTTTTCCATAAACCGTTCAGACGTTTTAATAATTTATTTTTGTTAACGCTTCCACTGTATCCTTTACCTGTAGCACTATCTGTGAATTGTCTACAAATACAAAATATCAAACATTTACACGTATTTTACTACAATATAATGATACACTTTCATCGGAAGCAAAATATTACAATTATATATTGCAAACTGTTGACAAATTAATTTAATATAAAGAATCTCCAAAAATTGTTTCCTTGCAATAAATAAGTAAAATCAATGAAACTAATTAACATTGCGAGTACACATTGAAAGGCATGATGCAAAACGATTTGGTAATTTGACATCGAATTTTCGACAAGCGCTACTATTAGTAATTTGGATGTAAGCCTAACAGTACATTTATACATTACGTGCATTTACATATTAAGCACAAACATAAATGTCATGTTATATAAATACAAAATAGCAAAAAACTAAAGATGATTTTTCGCAATAACAACAAACGAAAGGGTGTGACGTAATATTTTACAGTTTACCTTGATAAGACAATAAATCGTTGATAATATTTGATACTTTGATAATATTTTATAGCGTTTCGTGTCATTCTTAATTTGTTTCGTTTTACAAATGACAAAGGTAATGAGAACAATGAAACCTTATCGCACTAACTTATTGATTCACTGAGAACTCCATTCGTTTTCAAGTTTATAAAGTTTCTAATCGTTTTCAAGTTTATAATAGTTTTTATTAATCAATACTATTATCTTCTTAATCAATACTACCATTTTCTTTCAGCCATTATTTGAGGTTATATCGTCGTGAGCTCATTCACTGAACAGTTTCGAACAACTAAACAGACATCTGATTCTACTTATAGAAAAGAGCGACACTGACGCAGTTAGGAGGCTCGTTTTGTAAATAAAATGGTATGATGCTACTCCACCAATAAGATTTCTAGCCAGAGGTATATAAATTTAACAACCCAATAACTTCGTCGACGAAAGTAATTATCGCGTAAGTTAAGTACTAACAATATCGTTTGACATCTTTGTTTATACGTAAACATAATATTAATAGAATTTACTTTATTACGATTCTGAATCACTTGCATAGAATGCATTCCGCAATCAATTCAGAACGACGACGAGTGAAAATAAGTAATTGTTCAACGATCTACAAGGTCTATTTAACCCGCATGCTTCGTAATCCATGGAATTCTTAGTAATATAGTATTTATTAACTTTCTCTTTCTTTTTAAATCGCGATACTCTTAGAAACATCTATGTTTCCATTTAATTATTTTATTAGGTAACATAACCATTTTAAACTACACGACACCAGCGCCCCTATGATCGAATGATGGAATTGAACTTGAATTGGTCAATAGATATTTATAAAATATATTCATTTATATGAATACTTAATAAAGTATTCGAAGGATATTGTTCTTTTTTTTTATTATTAAATAAATAAGAAGTAAATAAGACTGTTTTACGACTGTATAAAATATTAATACTTTATTTTTCAATTGACCGTGCGTCGCACCGCGCACAGTGGGATATGTACAAAGTTCGTCGTACCGAGGCGTTCATCTTCGCCCGGTACGACCGATCGCGCACCTACCGATTAAAAATCATGTTTTTACGTGCTAGGTTTAAAAAGTAACGCAGAAAGTGTGGTTTGTTGCATCCGTCTTGTTTTCTTTTTCATGCCTCTCTTCTTTTTTTTTCCCCATTCTCTTCTGCACACTCTTTCGCCGTGAGTGAGATTTAAAAACAAAAAAAAAAAAAAAAAAAAAAGCTACACATGCTGTTTCGAGCAGTGTATGCAGTGCCTGAGGTATATCAGTGGTATGTCTATTGCGTTGCTATACTTCGAACGAAAAGACCGGGAAAACAACTGACGAAATGTATAAAGTGTAGAAAACAACAGTACTATGTACGTATATGCAATCGATGCGAGTTAATCGCCGAACGCGTGCAGTATTTATTAAATCTGGCAGTGAATTCTCATCACGGAGGAAAGCTGAGTCTCTGAATTTCTTCTCGGCGCAAGTTCGAAATGTCTATCGGTAATCGCGGAACGTAGGTCGAGATCAGGTTCGCTGAGATGATGCGTGATCACATGACATTGAATAAAAGTCGAACACACTCTGTACTCGCATCGAACGGGAGAAAACAAGAAATGAAAAAAAAAAAAAATTGTTTAACTATCATTAAAAAACGGAAAAGAAACTAAGGAATTGCTGTGACGCTAATTACAAGATTTTTTCTTCTTTTTTTCGTTCGGTGGTGTTAAAGAAGGAAAAGAGTGTCGCAAGCTCGTCGTATTCTTACGAAGCTAAAACAGGGGCGGAATAACGGGGTTGTTCGATTGGAACGAGACGCGTTTTAGGAACAGGCTCGCACCTAGGGTCACAGATCTCCAACGAGTTCTGTTTCATCGGAAGTATGATTACTTCGTCGACGTTCCGTTTTTCTTTTTCTTTTTTTCTTTTACGATTTGTAAGATCGTTAAGTCATTCCAACTATTTCTATCATTTGCCTTTTCTAGGATTCATCCATTGCTTGTCGACGTTTTTATATAACAATCGGACATGGAATTGTTGCATGAGAAAATAATGAAGACTGTTGTGCAAATAGAGTAAATAAAAAAGTATCGATATGCAAATTCGAAAAGAATATCGAAAAACTAATATAATGATAAAACGAATTAAGAATCTCAAAAAATTAATATACGAAGTTGGACAAGTTAATCTATATAAGTGCAAAGTACATATTATCAAAGTAGCATGTAGGGACCTTCAAAACAAAACAAAAAGATTCTTCAGAAAAAATTATCTAAACATCTATAGATCCCGAATCGAAAACAAAAATAAAAAAAAAAAAAGAAATCACAAAGCAATATATGCAATATCTTATGCGTACAATCAAATCTGTAATATACTACTGATAAAATGAAGATTTTTAAAAGAGCATAAATCCTAAAATTAAACGTGATGCTGTACATCACAAACAAATGCAAACAAAAGAATGTTCTTTACTCGGGCATCGTTTTAAGACTGATACTTGCGCGTAAGTCGAGTACGAGCGATCTTCTCTTCACTTCTCAATGCTTATTGTGATATATTTCACATAATTTTTCTATTTCGAATTTTACTTTTCCTCCTTCAGAATAAAATGTCGTATATCGTGCATATATTATATACTGTGCAGGTGCATATTACACACCGTAAATCGTGGTCAGTTAATCTGTTCCAAAAAAAAAAAGAAAAAAAACTACGTCTATCTCTACAATTATAAAACGAAGATTCGCAATAAAACGACGCAAATTTTTTCAAGAAAAAAATTTCGTCGATCCTTCAACTCGGATCGAACTTATAAGAGAATCTGAGACCCTGCATCAAGGCACCGTCACTTCCGGTTTACAATTGCTCGACGTAGCTCCGATGCGTCCCTCCCCCGTCTCTCGACAATGTTCCCATTTTTCCAAGGTACACAATGATACGTGTTTAAAATATACAAATATTTATATATACATATACATATATACGTCTATTTGTATACATACTGTACATAGTATACGATGTATGTACAAATATATACGTATATATGTACATATATGGTGCGTGCACAGAGAACGCATTATCGTATGCTAGTAGTACAAGTATGAAAAAGGTCAGCCATGCGTACATCAACCTGTATATCATTCGTTCTTTCCTTCGTTCTCCTCTTTTATATTATTCGATCTTTTTCTACGTTGTACTAAGATTTGGTTATTTGAAGAGTATATTACTAACTAGGTTTCGC